ATGCATTTGATTTAAAATATGTCTAATCCCAGAACAAAATGGCTGTTATTAATTTTTAACATCATCATCATCATAAGACCAGTCAGATTAGTTTATGTAAGCACCTTCGTTCTTTCGCCCTAACGTCTCTTGCGCTTTGATTTCGATGTCTTCCATTGTGAGCTGCCGCTCAAGTCAATACGGCTTCCTCCACCTGCCAAAGCCATACCGAGCTTACGTATGCGAGTGCATCAGGCACATCTAACTAACAAAATCTAGCAATGTAGGACTTATTTAGGCTGTTATTTTATCTAGCTAACAACATCATCATATATAAGACCAGCCAGATTAGTCATTGTGATAATAAATGTGTTATTGTTTACAAACACAAACCCAAAGCATTTTCACACAGAACAAAGTACCACAAATAAAAGTGAGATTGATAAAAACGTTATTGTCCAACCCTATCTTGAGTCTCGCACTTCACACAGAAGCTAGTCCTCAGAATCAAGTAACAACTTAAGAATCAGACATCACTTCGTCGCTTTCTTTGTCTATATCTGATTGCTTCGGCCAACGCCAATCCATGCTTACGATATCAAGTAGCGCTTCTGATTCAATTTCGTCAGGCTGTACAACGAGAATATTGAAATTCTCCGATTTCAATTCCTGAAGACGATTGAAGAATTCTCCTGAGACTTCTTTTGAGATGACCAAGACATTTGATGGTGCAGGATTGCGCATTCCAAATGAAAGAATGTCCACTATCATATGATTAACTTCCACAATTCCTTCACCCACTATATATCAAAACAGAGATCTCGATTACATACATGTAAAGTAGCAAAGAGAAAAGAGTGTAAAGAGAGTTCCAAGTAAAGGAATTCACCTGAGGTTCGTAAAATGATATTGGCATGATTATAGTCTGACCACAATTCACGAAAGATGCTAGTCTGACCACAATAAGCCCAGACTGAAACCTCACCATGATATCCCTCCTCCGCAAGAGATGATTTGATATTCTCTAAAATGTTTCGAGGATTGTAACCTTCGGGGATTGGGCAGTCCTCGATGTTCCAGAATATTCCAGTCTTAGCGTCATAAACAATTACGAAAATAAGGAAACAAAAATTAGATTGTCAATACAACTGATAAGATTAATGTCAGATCAATTAAATCGACTAGCTTACCATGATTGGGGACACCTTGTGCGCTTCCCCTTTGGTCGATAGGATTTCCACCACCAAATAGGCTTTTTGGGACTTTCAAAAGGCATTTCGGCCTTTCAGTACAACGTAGAACTGCTGATGGAGCTTCCTCAAGCTGTGCAAAGAGAATATTGTAATCTTTTGATTCCAAAGCTTGTAGAAGACTTTTCGTTTCTTCTGAGATGTCTTTCGAGATTACCAACAAATTTGATGGTGCAGGATTGTCTAGTGCCCATAAAACAATGTCCACTAACATTTTATCAACTTCCATATAATAATCTCCCAATTAATTTTCAACACTATATATCAGACGGAGAACAACATTAGTTACATATAAAGAGAAAATAGTGTAAATAGGGATTTATGTAAAGGAATGTACCTTTTTTTTGTAAGGTCATTCCGTAGTGTGAGTAGCAAAAAATAAAGTCATCGATGTTTGCTAACAGGTCAGAATAAGCCCAGATTGACACATCACCATGACAGACGTTATCCACAAGAGCTGATCTGATGTTCATATCAACCTCACGGAGATCGGGACCATTGAAGATTGGGTGGTCCTCGATGTTCCAGAACAGCCTGTCCTAGCCTCTGGGAGGTTTCAT